TGCACTCACTGTTTCAGTCAGCAATGTTCCAGTTATATCAAAGAAAGCCTGTATATAAACGAAGCTGGAAGCAGCAAACCTGGGTTTCCTGAAGCGTGAGCAACGTTGGTTGGTTTGTTGTTTAACGCCGCACTCAGCAATATTCCAGCTATATGACGGCGGTCTGTAAATAATCGAGTCTGGACCAGACAATCCAGTGATTAATATCATGAGCGTCGATCCACGCAATTGGGATTAATGACATGCGTCAACCAAGTCAGCGAGCCTGACCACCCGATCCCGCTATTCGCCTTTTAAGACAAGCATAGTCACCTTTTACGGCAAGCATGGGTTGCTGAAGACCTATTCTACCCCGGAATCTTCACGGGTCGCGTGAGCAACGACCCAGATCGTGTAGGTACGTTGACATACCACCACCATTGAGGCCATACCTTGTAACCAGACACATACCTCAAACTCATTTGGTCTCATGTGACAGTGATTATGTCGAGAAAGTACACATAAACGTGTTTACTCGTAAAGAATAACAAGTTTGAGCATATTTTCATTAGTATCCGACGAAGACAATAATTTCAGTCAAATGACTCTGACGAAATGTATCAGGCGAAAAATTTAAAGCGACATTTAAATCATGAAATATTGGTTTACAATCAATCTAATGTTACCAATAGGAGTAGTAATGCCATGAATTTGGTAAATATTTGATTCTTATTTGTTAGGGGTTACAGGTTTTAACAATAACCCCCCCTGTTTTGACGGCCGCGAAAAGTGATATTTAAAGACAAGTGTTTCTTTCCCAATCATCGTCGGTAGGAATTTTGAAATAAAATGTACAACTAATGGTTACGAAATGCAGATGTGCGGTGACTACAATATTCAAAGTATGTGTGGTAATGCATTAGGACGGAAAACAGTGTATTTCAAATTTTTGGCACAACAGAAAACATGAAATTTCTCGCTTTCCCCAATCCGCATGTATGTAATCAACATAGTAGGCAAACATATGTTCCAGCTATATCCATGGTGACATGTAGTGAGTGAGTGAAAGAGTATTGATTTACGCCGCATTTAGTAATATTCCAACAATATCACGGCAGCGGACATCGGAAATGGATTTTACAATTTGTACCAATGTGAGAATCGAAACCTGGCCTTCAGCTGAACATGTTAACAAACACCAAATGATATTTTTTAAAGTATTGCCGTGTAAAATCATTAAAACATAATACGCGCTCAGTTTGTATTCCTCCAAAATAGAATTTGCAAAGTAGCTCCATAACATATTTAGCAAATCGATAAGAACACATTACATACATATTTCGTATAAGATTTAATGTCGATACATTTTCATATAGAACGCCCTGTTTTCTTATCAACAATAAGGGGCCGAACCATGTAGATACAGAATAAAAATAGATAAATACAAATAGCGCTCCTTTTCCCCCTTGAAAAACGGAAATATTTTTGAAATGATGCTAAGGTAAATTATCGATATGCTTATGATGTTGTCGTACCAACTGAATCATATATAGACTATCATGAATGGCTTCCGCCAGGTGAAACTGCCTCCGTGGCTTAGTGGTAGAGCATGCCAAAGGGGTTAAAAGACTTGTTACTCTGGCGCTCGGCATTAAAGGGCTAAAACAAGGACTGGTCGGCTCGGAGTCAGTATACTGTGTCTGAGTGGGGTATTCATGTTAAACTGTGGCATGTCATCTCAGTGGGGTAGCACTATAAATCGGCATCAGTCCGGACAAGTACAAGCAGCCACACACACGTACATGCACGTCGCTTTGTAAGTACAATAACCTTGGACGCGACGTTCAACCCCATTTCACCTCATCTCACCTCCAGTGGACGTGGGCTAATCTACCAAACTCTTTTAATCTCGCACTTTGTGTCAAACGAGCTGGCCGATCTTCACAGATGACATCCGCCATGTTATTATAATCATGAGGTCTTAATTTGCTTCCAATAGCTCCATGTTAGTTTCTAAATTGTTATGATATTTTCAAACTAGCGCGCTCCGTGAATGCACGATATTTACATACGTCTTCATTGACGTAAGATATAATGTGTGTGGGGGGAGAGAGAACCCAGTCGTCTGAGGTGCCGCAGTTCGCTGTGCAGAGTTGCGTCCCTTAGGCACGCCAGAACCATATGATCGTGGGTTCGAATAAAGTATATACTTGATCATAGTGTATTTCGCCTGGTTGTCATAGGGTGTAAAATGTATGACTAATTGCAAACCTTACAGGGATTTGATATATGAGTAGGCAGGGAAAAAAATTAATTTGTAAATTTTCAAATGTATGCATGGTTTAGAAAGTTATGACCATACCAGATATCATGCACCATATTTAGGAATGTAACTGAACAATTCACCAATAAAAGAACAATGTGTAAGCGATGCCCAACTGTACAGAAGAAACAATGGTTTTCCTCGCATAAATGTGGGCAAAACTCCTCTGACATAACCATGTTTAAGTTCGTACCAAAAACTAAGCATTTCAAATATAAATATGCTATATTATGTTTTGGCAGAGATCCTGAAATGCTTCACACAAAGAAGAAGAGACATCTAGTATCGCATTCTGTATGATGTACGCTGTGAACTCGGTTGTTCTTAAAATGAATTATAGATTATCTTGCATAAGTTGTCATTTGCTGAAATTCAAAGTGTGATCAGCTATAGACTCAAGATGTCACCGGAAGTTGCGCGTACAGATACATTTATACGGGGAAGGAACGAACCCAATTCTCCTATGTGACGAACGAACGCTTCAACCATTACGACACAACTTCTGTCCATAGTTTACGAAAGAATGAGAAGTTTTAGAAATTGTTATGCACGTTATTGTGAGTGGGGTTTTAGCAATAATCCAGCAATATCATGGCGGGGGACACCAGAAAAGGGCTTCACACATTCAACCCATGTAGTGGTCTTCGGCGTGACGCTTTAACCACTAGGCTACCCGACCGCCCCACACGTTATCAAATTAGATATGATCAAACACGTATATTCGTATGAATGATAATTAGACTGCCTGTTTTGGACTTATTACAACACTGAATATAGGTAAGGATTATCTGTGTCAAAAAGGTGGTTTTAGAGGTTTCCTGGAAGCGTATTTTGAATATGAGCAAGTCTTTAATCCACAACTGTTTTGCTAAGGAGATCTAGATAAAGGCAGTTCAAACATATGACACAAAAGTGTAGATTGTTTCTTGCAATCGGCCTTTAACCATTCTTATGAATTTGTCGTGTTCAAAACTTGCAAGTGCAAGACACAGAAGCAGGCAAGTTATCAGCCATTTGAACAAGTCAGGTAATTTTCATACCAATATTTCAAAGCTTTCTGTAACTTCAAATGAAAACGTAATCGATTATTCAGCGTGTCATATTATTTAATAACACGTCAAGGATGGCGTAACGGAAAGGAGATCTAAAGAGCCCTTTTTGCCCAACCTCATTAATCCGGCGTATTATTTATATCTACTTTCCATCTGGACGACCTCGATAATCCGGCGTATTAGCCTATCCTTTCGTGCAATGCAATAAGACGATTGGTGTTAGGTGTATAAGGGGGCGGTCGGGTAGCCTAGTGGTTAAAGCGTTTGTTCGTCACGCCAAAGACCCGGGTTCGATTCCCGACATGGGTACAGTGTGTGAAGCCCATTTGTGGTGTCCCCCGACGTGATATTGCTGGAATATTGCTAAAAGCGGCGTAAAACCATACTCACTCACTGTTAGGTGTATAATAACTTTCAATCATTTGAAAAAACGATACGGTAAAATGGACGTGTGAAGTCATATACCGGCAAAAGAACATGACCATATGTTGTAAACTATATCAAGAAAAGATGGATGAATGTCAACATTTATGTAAAGTAATATTGCATATTTGTTTACGTATGGGCACCTAAAGCCGGGACATGCATCCGCTCAGCTGTAACAAACCTGCGTGTTGACAGCATCCCTTAGTGTATTTGTGGATTTTGTATATCAAAACAACACACGCGGAATAATTTAGGAAGCGTGATTTTCAGGCGTGTTTAGGTAAACCAGTGCAAATATACGTACGTACATGAAACAGTATAGGTATAATGTGTTACCCCTATAGTCGGTGTCCGATTGGGCGTCTCGGGCACGCGTTCTCGAAGACGCGGTGTAGATATGAACTCATACTAGTTTCTGAGTACCGGGATTAAGGGATTCTATAGGCAGATACCCCATGCCTTTCGTACAAGAGCCGATATAATTGAGGATGATGTGTAACCTGGGCCTAGGTTTTCGAAACGATCTTAGCTACGATTAATCTTAACAACTTACGTTCAAACATAAGATATCTTAAGTTTAAGATAAGACAGATTTTCGAAACAATCGTAAACCTGTCGCAGATCGTACAGAGCTACGACACCTTTCGTGACTCGGACAGAGAACTCATTTGTGTTTGGGATTTTAAAAGAGGGGTGTTTCCCAGTGACGTCACGAGGATTTCCCAGCCGCTGGCAATAACAACATGGAGAAGTGACATGGAATTCATGATCACATTGCGAGGTCACAGTGTTTGACACGCAACTATTTGTGTGATATTCCGTACAATCCTACATTTGCCCTAGATGTAGACGGGTTTTTTGTTTTGTTTTGATTTTTGTTTTGTTGTTGTTTGTTTGTTTTGTTTTGTTGTTTGTTGTTGGGTTTTTTGTTTTTTGTTGTTGTTTTTTGCTGTTGTTTTTTTGTTTTTTGTTTTTTTGGGGGTGGCGATGTTAATCATGTTAGCCTTTAAAAAAGCAAATACTGAATCAGTTGGTGACCAAAATGGGAATTAATTGATTAATTTTGGCCGACAACCGCAAATTGTTTCATCTAACATTTCTTTTTTCCACCCAAACTTCCAAGGTGGTCACCCCCACTCCACCCCACCATTCCAAGGTGGTCGACCCCACTCCATCCCACCTTCCAAGGTGGTCACCCCACTCCACCCCACCATTCCAAGATGGTCACCCCCACTCTACCACACCATTCCAAGATGGTCGCCCCACTCCATTCCATCTACCAAGGTGGTCACCCCACTCCACCCCACCATTCCAAGGTGGTCACCCCCACTCCACACCACCATTCCAAGATGGTCACCCCACTCCATCCCACCATTCCAAGGTGGTCACCCCCACTCCACCCCACCATTCCAAGATGGTCACCCCACTCCATCCCACCATTCCAAGGTGGTCACCCCCACTCCATTCCACCATTCCAAGGTGGTCACCCCACTCCACCACACATTCCAAGGTGGTCACCCCCACTCCATTCCACCATTCCAAGGTGGTCACCCCCACTCCATCCCACCATTCCAAGGTGGTCACCCCACTCCACCACACATTCCAAGGTGGTCACCCCCACTCCATTCCACCATTCCAAGGTGGTCACCCCACTCCACCACACATTCCAAGGTGGTCACCCCACTCCATCCCACCATTCCAAGATGGTCACCCCACTCCATCCCATCTACCAAGGTGGTCACCCCCACTCCATCCCACCATTCCAAGATGGTCACCCCACTCCATCCCATCTACCAAGATGGTCACCCCCACTCCACCCCACCATTCCAAGATGGTCACCCCACTCCATCCCATCTACCAAGGTGGTCACCCCCACTCCATCCCACCATTCCAAGGTGGTCACCCCCACTCCACACCACCATTCCAAGGTGGTCACCCCCACTCCACCCCACCATTCAAAGATGGTCACCCCACTCCATCCCACCATTCCAAGGTGGTCACCCCCACTCCACCCCACCATTCCAAGGTGGTCACCCCCACTCCATCCCATCTACCAAGGTGGTCACCCCCACTCCACCCCACCATTCCAAGATGGTCACCCCACTCCACCCCATCTACCAAGGTGGTCACCCCCACTCCATCCCACCATTCCAAGATGGTCACCCCACTCCATCCCATCTACCAAGATGGTCACCCCCACTCCATCCCACCATTCCAAGATGGTCACCCCACTCCATCCCATCTACCAAGGTGGTCACCCCCACTCCATCCCACCATTCCAAGGTGGTCACCCCCACTCCACACCACCATTCCAAGGTGGTCACCCCCACTCCACCCCACCATTCCAAGATGGTCACCCCACTCCATCCCACCATTCCAAGGTGGTCACCCCCACTCCACCCCACCATTCCAAGGTGGTCACCCCCACTCCATCCCATCTACCAAGGTGGTCACCCCCACTCCACTCCACCATTCCAAGATGGTCACCCCACTCCACCCCACCATTCCAAGATGGTCACCCCACTCCATCCCATCTACTAAGGTGGTCACCCCACTCCACCCCACCATTCCAAGGTGGTCACCCCCACTCCATCCCACCATTCCAAGGTGGTCACCCCACTCCACCCCTCCATTCCAAGATGGTCACCCCCACTCTACCCCACCATTCCAAGGTGGTCCCCCCTACTCCATCCCATCTACCAAGGTGGTCACCCCACTCCACCCCACCATTCCAAGGTGGTCACACCCACTCCACACCACCATTCCAAGGGGGTCACACCCACCCCACCCCACTTTTCCAAAACGCTGTATCCGCACTTGCTGAATGCACAAATACCTCCCAAAGCAACTTACGTTTGCCAGTTGTGTATAAATGAGTTAGTTATATAGAGTTATGATATGTATACACTTCCTTCATCGATACAACTTCCCCGTGTTAAAATGTTAACGTTTCAAAAGGTTGCGTGTGCTATGCTTGGTCCGCGCATGTTTATTTCCCATCAGCCCATTTTGATCCGATCATCCGGATACTGTCAATACGCAACCATGACCAGGTATACTGATCTCGACAACCACAGCACAATAACTAATCAAGACAAGGTCAAAATCACATCGTTTGTGTGTGTGTGTGTTTGACTGATTGTTTGGCTTGTTTAACGCCACACCCACTTGTGGTTACTACCTTTATGCCGTAAATCCTTGAATAAACACCAGCTTCAAGTGGCACACAATAAGAAATGAACACCTACCTCATCAGCTTCATTCATCCTGTAGCAAATTCAGACATCTTTGTTAGTCTTACCTTCATCACTTTATTTGTTGTTCAGGTCGCCACAGTCAGCGGTCGTCCATCTATATGATGGCAGCATGCAAATAATCATGTCTTGGCCAGGTAATCACCAGGTGATCGATATTATGTTTGTTTGTTTGTTTGTTTGAAATTAAGGATTGTTCTAGGCTCCATTTAGAGTTTTTATTTTATTTTTATGTTGTAGATATGTATTTTTAAATAAGGTAACTTTTCTTTAAGGACTAAATGTCAGTATAAGGCTCTAGGTAGTGAGTGCTAATTCTATAGCACTCTCCTTTCATCCATGTATAACTTTTATTTTCAATGGCGTCGATTATCATTAAACGAATGTATATTGCTTATGGGGAACACTTCTGCAGCTCTATTGATTTTATGGTTCAAATAATGAATGAGAAAAACATTGTTTTGCAATTTTCGATTATTTCCTCAAAGGAGATACATTTCCCTTGCTTTGTTGCTAAGCTTTAAACGGCAAATTGCAAGGCAAGGCAAGAAATAACACGCTGTGGGGAATCCACTGGTATGCCCCGTGCTTCAATAGTTGATGCTTGTTTGTTTAGTGTTCATATAACGTCGGACTCGGCAATATTCCAGCAACATGACCGTTTCTGTTAATAATCAAATATGGACCAGACAATCCAGTGATAGATATTGTGATCAACGTTCCACGCCGTCAGGTATACGGTGACACCCAATACACCAAGTCACCCCACCTGATCACCTGATCCAGTCAGTCGCCTCGACAAACATATACTCTCAAAAATGGTAGGGTATATTCGAAAATAACAGATGGTTACAGAAATACAGCTATGCATCGCTTGATTGCGCAGCACCCTTGGAATAGAATGGTATATTAACAATGTTCTTTATTATCCATATGATATGCGAGTTACTTAGTATCCATATGTACAAAAAAGTAATAGTCTAGAGTCTGGGATAATTGTGACGTAAAACAAGACACCATTGTTGACACAATATCTAGTGACATCACAATAGATGAAAACGTAACAGAATATCATTGTCGACGTCATGTGTCGCAATAGAGGTCTCTCCGTAATATTGAAATAAGGGCGATACATTTATAACACTCGAGTGCATAATCCGTGATACTGAATGTTATTGGCGATAAAAAAAAATAATTTATTAATCGAGTGCATACTATTTCTATTTAACAAAATTGATCCGAACATACAAGAATTCTGACAACCGTTTCATTAATTACTTCAGGATCACCGCTCTCTTCCCTTAACCTCTCTTTTAATAGTCAATATATGACAGTAAAACACTCTCTATTAAACAAGAGATAGAGACAAGATGCGATGAACTATCGTTTTTCCTTTCACTAATTAATCATTTTGATACGCCCGTATCTCAGTGACAATGCCTACCGCGTTTCCATGGAAACCAAAATATTCCGAAAATGACTACAAGTCTACAGATAAATTTGACCAATGGAATCCTCGGAGGGGCAGATGCCTCGTACAGACAGATGGCTAGCTCCGAACACCAGCCCAGTCTCGTCATAACGCGAACCGAGCTTGTGCGCTATGACGGTTGCGCCAAGATGACTTACAGTGGAAAGTAGAATTACTGAATTCTAGGAGCTGCTTGGATTTTAGCTGTAAGTATTCGTCATTGTTATATCTCTTCATAATGGCCCTGTTCTTGTAACCAAACGTCCTGTAAATCGAAATATTCCACATGTCTGTTCTGAAGGCGGCCTCGGGGCTGTCTCGTGCACACATGCGCGGTGCACTTGAAAGTTGAGCTTTAACCGCCGGTGCGGTGCTGCAAACATGGAAGATGGTTTTTGAATTCGTCAGTTGGTTACGTAGCGTTTTTAACCCCCAAGTCAGGAAATAATGTATATCGCGAGTGTCAATGTGATAACCATGCATGCTGCATGGAAAACCATGCTATAGGGAGTGCATTGAAGTTAAATCCTACGATTGACGGTCACATTGCCACATTTTTTTACAGTTTTAACAACAAGCTGTATTTGTGTGTAATCTGATAGTGGTAGGCTTATGTACCACGGTGTGAATATGGCGGTGTGCTTTAAAGGCATCGATCGATTGACAGATGCGTAGATCTTTTTGCTACATAATAATCGCTTTTCCTCGCCAGTTCCACGGCAACACTTTCAAAGGGAGGTAACTCTTAGGGTCCTAAGGACAGCTGTCAGCTGCATTTGTTTGACGTGCATTTTATGCAGTTCCGTATTCACGATATAAACAAAATGTTTACAAATAGTTTGTGACAAAGACAGTTGTAAATGTGCTCAGGTTGACATTATGTCATTAAATTTTTTTATTTTTTTTTGTAAAACATTTGTGGCATCTCAAAATGTAATTTGTTGAAAATAATAACAATCTACATAAAACCAACCAGGTGTGAAATAGGAGTTGTGATGTCATATAAATCAATAACAAGTAAATAATGCATGCTCCCATGATGATGACAAAAACACAATAATCCATACATCCATGAAGTTGACAAACTTGTTGCATTGCACATTATTGATGTGCAGCTGTTGGGTTGATTTCTTTTAATGCGTGGCGGTCGGGTAGCCTAGTGGTTAAAGCGTTCGCTCGTCACGCCAAAGACCCGGGTTCGATTCCCGACATGGGTACAATGTGTGAAGCTCATTTCTGGTGTCCCCCGCCGTGATTTTGCTGGAATATTGCTAAAAGCGGAGTAAAGCCATACTCACTCACTCTTTTGATGCAACCCTGCTGAGGTTAAAATATCTATAAATTTCAGAAAAACACTAGAATGTCATGCTAGCTGATCACAGATGTGTTACAAGAAACTGAAAGCAGAAGGGTTCACATTCTATTCAGTTTTAAGAGGTTTCTACACAGAAGTTACAGGGGTTGTGAAATACTGGAAGAAATTTGTTATCCATAAATATATCATGTCAGTGTTATGAGATATGCCAAATTTACTTTTCATCAACATTTGCTTAACTAGACTTGAAAACTCTTTGTACTTTTGTGGTGAGGTGACACTTACTTAATCTTTCAGGTTACAAATTTGACGGTTAGAAGTAAATATATATGTCCATGGTACTTTATTAACATTAGTAGCCTGCACTATTATCGCAGTATTATTATTCCGAGTCAGCATTTCTTTATGCCCACCAATGGCTTAACCAACCTACCCCAAAAGTATGTTGAATTTCAATACCCAATTTATATTGAATTAGAAAAATTCAACCTTGGAAAAGATAGCCGGGGGGCAAAATGCTGTAAAAAAATAACGGAATGTTTGGGCACAGGGCCAGTCTGCAAGTGCCTGCACAGTTACCTGTCCCGTGTTAATGCACTGCTGCTAGGCATTGCATGAAGTATTGTATATATCACTATGTTGCATAATACTTTGTAATCTGCACTGCAAGGTGACACAGATTTAGAATTGTTATTTACATGATTGATGAGATTCAATTCGATTTGTCGTTTCCCAGTGATCACCTACGTGTGTGGTTTTAAGTTCTGCATGTCTCAGACATGTCAGACGTTGAGATGGATTTTGTTGATTTAGATCTATGCAAAGAGCTGCCTGTGATTAATTGGGTGATGATGAGTTCTGTATATGACCGTAGATAAGCCGATTGCGTAGATAAGCTGAGGTATTAAGTTGGTTCTTGAAATGTGTATCAAAATGTTATAGGCGGTACATAGGCTTGGCCACCAACCTAAAACTAGGTCTTCTTATCATGGTGAGTCCTGCGCCATGACCGTGGAATATATTTATATTATGAAAAAATAATAATCTAGAAATGCATAAAAAAGCTAGCTCTGAAATCAGCATAGGGAATTTTTTTTAATTTTTAGAGTCAAGAAGGATCAGAGCTCCAGATAAGCTGCGTATCTGCGTAAAATACGCATCAGAAATGCAGAAATATGCAGTAAAATCAAATACGCAACAAACATTACTGATACCCTACAAAATAAAACTTGTGCGTATCATCAAAATATTGTGAAGTAACCCTGCGTATTCGATTAGCAAATCTGCAACTTATTTTGAAATTATAAACGGGCATACCGTCAACCTTGCCAAACTCATGATCATGATCATTTGCCATCACACTTTCTTGTGGAAGTATCGTGGTATTTTTGAGTCCTATAAAGCTCTGGAACCCACACGACACCAGTTTGCAGGGACTAGATGAATAGTATTTTAAAATATTTAACTTAAATACCCACATGGTTAAAAACTAGTGGGTAACAGAAATTTGAATACGCAGATAGAATTACTGATACCCAATGATTTTAAAATGCATGGGTAAAATACCACAACACCAAAAGCTTATCTGGAGCTCTGAGGATACTGTGTTATATAAGATTTCAGAGACTAAATGTTAGTCTATATCATGGTCCGTCATCGGAAATAAATATCAGCAAATCTGTTTTGAGTTACACAGGTTTAATCCTGTCGTTACACTATCTGTTAATAATTAGTGTTCATTGTGTATCTGGACTTATGTTTATCATCTATTTTATTAATTTTATTCAGAATTTCATTCAATAATGTTGACATTAACTTCGGGGGAAATCGGTTGTA